ACACTTGATCTTTTGTTCTCATGAAATATACAAAAGACATGCGACTAAAGTCATCTTCAAACAGAAGAAAATACCTGGAACCACCCAAGGACAGGGTTTCCATGGGGCCGCAAACATCAGCATGTATTAGTTCCAATAATGCATTTGCCCTGTTCCCTTTATGTAAGAATGGTAGTCTGCTTTGTTTTGCTTCACAGCAGACTTCACAATTGCCCTTTGTGGCATCAACTGTGCCACTATAACTCAGGCCATTCACTAAACTATTACTGTTCATTTGATTCAAATACTTGCTATTAATGTGACCAAATCTGCGGTGCCAAACTTCACCATTTGCTACTGACAGTCCTGCAAAAAATCCTTCAGCCGTTTTGATGTTTAACTTGTATACACCTTGATACAAATTAGCTGTGCCTATATGTTCCATTTCAGAATTATAAATTTTACAGCATTCTGCTTCAAATTTAACCACATTGCCATGTTTAATCAGCTGACTCACACTCAGCAAATTTGTGGTCAATTCAGGAACATATAGTACATTTTTGATAATGATAGGAACCCTGTTGTCATCTACAACTGTTTCAATTTGTATTTCTCCACAGCTTTCTGCTTGCACTATCGATTTATTAGCCACCATAATTTCTTGTATATCAGATTTACTCACATTTTGTAACCAGTCATTATTGGTAGTCAAGTGAACACTGGCCCCAGAGTCCACATACCAATCTGACTTGTTGAAATTCCCATTCAAGAATATAGCATTGAATGCATTTGTTTTCTTCTCCAACTGTTCAGTGGTTTTTTCTGCCTTTTCAGAGTATTTGTTTGGGCATTTATTCTGAAAGTGACCAGTTTGTTTACACTTGTAACATTTAATGTCTTTTCTGGCATGGCTATTTCCACTAGTGTTACCAACATTTCGTTTGTTCTGCCAATTCTGCCCATGACCATTCCATCCTTTGCTATATAGCGAACGCACCTACAGTACTTCCAGCATCTCCACCCATATCCAGCAGCTTTTGCTTAATGGAGTCTGTAGATACTTGTATTCCAGAGTGTTCGATTGCCATTATCATAGGACCAAACTTTTCTGGCAATCCAGCTAGTAACAAGGATCCAATCCACTCATCATCAATGTTAAACCCTGTACCACGTAGTTTCTGTCCCGTTTCCACAATCTGGTTTACATAGCTCTGCATCGAATCACAACTATCCAAACGCGTAGAAATCAACCAGAGATTATACTGAATCAACGTACGCAATAACGCTATTTTTCTGGTATAACCGGAATCGTCAAACAAGGATTTCAGTTTTTCCCATAATTCCTTAGTGGTTTTCGCATCTCTGATGTGGACATACAATGACGAATCGATCGTCAAAATTATTTTGGCTTTTGCTTTGGCGTCATCATTTTCGACGACCTCCATGATGCATTTCGAAAGTCCCTCAAGCACGAGGAAGTTTTCAACTGCAAAAACCCAGTCATCATAGTTCTCACGCCCTTTTAACTTCGGAACGTTGACTATATAATTCGCAGCCATTCTTGTGCAACGATTACTTCTATTTTGAATTTCGACAGTGTTACGCTACGCCATTTCTGGGCCCATAACCTGATAATCAAAATGAAACAGCTTCGTTGTTCAGCACAGACTAACTACTTTATTCAGTCGTCATCGACGAGATCATAAGAGGAAATACATTTTGACATATGACAATATGCACACTCGATACAAAAGATTTCTATATCAATATTGTCAATATCACATAAAGGTAACTGTATGATACAGAAGTAATCTTACATCCACTTTCATTAGATGGCGCCACGAGTAACAAACTACTATTTTGTACTATAATTTGGGCTTGGAACAACAAAACGTAGGTACTAACCTATTTAACTTTCAATATTTTTTGAGGAAGGAAAACCAGAAAGAGAAAAAACATTGTAGAAAAAAAAGTTGTTAAAAAAGTTCAAGTTTACAGCGATTCGAACCAGGGACCTTCAGACTGAGAGTCTGAAAACGCTAACCACTAGATCACTTGAGTCTTGAGTACATGAATTCATTGCATACAAGAACATGCGACAACGAGAGTGCTTCAGTCGAATTCATTCCTGGAAAAATTATCCCCAGAAATAGTAATTTACGTAACAAGTCCGGAAAATACTGTTTTTTTGGACGAGTAGACAAAATTCTAGGCCGAGCCGTAGGCGAGTCCTGGACGTCTGCGAGTCCAAAAAAACTGTTTTTTGACGTGTTGCGTGCACTATTTTTTCGGCAACCATGTAGAATAGGTAACAAATCAATGAGACACATTCCCATAATATATTTCTCTGTAAAATACATTTTTTCTTCATTGATTCTCATTTGTATCAAATACTGAAATTTCAACAGAATACCTATACCTCCTAACTGTTACATTGGAAATTTCGTATGGACATTTTCAAACTCACTATCGCAACTGCTGTCGATAGTTTATTGCGATAATTGCAACCAAACATTCAAAAATCAAAATGTCAACTAATTTCATGTCAAATAGCTGTCAGCCGATATTTCGCTGCTATAGTAATTATCATCTGCATTTATCGAAACCATATCTACCAAGATTTTCATAGTTACAGTGACAACAACGATGTGACTTTCTCAAAGAAAAAGCGTCCGGGAAGAGAGGACTTCCCGGATGGTTGCCGAAAAACACATTTACTTAACTAACGCATAAGCATTACATAATTTTGTTGATCAGTTACGTAACAAGAGAGGTAATAAGTAGGTTCAAAATTCATGAGTTGACTGTGCATAATGTCCGCAACACATTACATCATACGTTACATCAATTCTATGTAATAGTAGTTACATATTGTTTATAGCTGCCCCTCAAGCTTCAATTCTATTAGGAATTGAAGGATTTTGAGAGGATCTGTTCGTGTATGGTATTTCTTCCAGGGTCTGCTGGTATATAGTCCCAGTATGTTTAATTTTGTGTGATGTTCGTACCTACAGCATAATAATAGGTAGGTACCATATCCTCATTATATTGTACATAAATAACTCACCACCAGAAATCATTCATTATTTGAGTATACCTATATTAGAGGCTTAGAATGTCTTACCTTCAATTTCCTGAAATGAGAGCTGATATCGGTTATATTGTTGATGCACCTGAGATGCTTACAATTCAACACAATGGCAAATGATTTTCTATATAACAATAAAAGAAGCTTCACTATTGTTGCAATTGAGATGCTTATATACTCACCTACGATAACAGAACCTCACATAGATTGGCATTATCAATCATTATTGCTTGAAATTTCATACATACTTAAACTCCTTGAACTACAAACAGGACGCTAATGTTGTTGTCGTATCGCCGCCATCTTATTCTTGACTCTTTCATTTAGCCTCTCTCCGAGGGTCCGTATGGTCCTTACCCTAGCCTCGGTACACGGTACCTCGAGTTAGATTGACATGTTAATATTTGCGGGAAGTTCGACAAGTGCAAGTGTTGAAAACTCATTTCTTTTATTCGTCTGAGGTTGAAAATGACTTCATGTTGTAACATTTTCGAATTATTCTAGAAATACTTTAATTTTGCGATATTTTCAATAAATTGAAAGTAAACATTAGAAATTTTAAATAGAATGATCTCAATCAAATCTGTAAATATATCGAAACTGATGAACCCATGATACAACGAAGTTTTAATGTATCATGGATGAACCTACAGAAAAAAAAACAAATTATTACCAACCTATTTTCGATTCCAAAACAAAAACTCATAGATAGATTTGGAATGTTCTCAATATAATAACTTTTGGAGATTCAAAACCGGACATGCAATGAATATTCGATACGGAATGATTTTGATCCAGAATAAATAATCATAAAATATCCATAGAACAACGCGTTCAGAATATTCTCAATCGAATGATCTGTGGATATAGGAAACTGAACCTGCGATGAATATTCGAAATGGAATAATATATAAATATCTATAGATATTCTGGATATATTCAAGACATCTATATAATATCTGGATATATATCTTCCAAATCGTACACTGACAAAACATTCCATGAATATCTGGTGCTATCTGGGTATGGCATCAGATACCAATTGTTGGAAATCGAGAGGCAATTACAACAATAATTCTCATAGAACTCTCTCACGAATAACTAAAAACTGACCATTTGAGTAACAATTAGAATGTTTATAATTTTACCATCAGGGAAAGACCTATGGTTTTAATAACGTGTACTTCATTTGAATGTTTATAGAGAAACTTGGCATATACCTCCTAGGTAAGTAACAAACAGAATTCCCATTGAGACTTTACTGAGCATTCGAAATTACAACAAGAAATCCTATAACAGTCGTTGGTAAGTCCCAAAAAGAAGTAACAATAAATATATAAATGATTCGTCCTAGCGACTTCTGTGACTTCGCTGGTTTGCTGGGTAATTGTTACATCAATGAGAGGTACCGTCAAACGGGGTAATTTCGATCATGCGAGGAAAAGTCGATCAAGCACGCCCCTGTGAAGAAATTGGCGCGAAAAATGGAATAGTTACGTTTTTTATGTAGTTGACAGTTGACAACCGGTTCAGTTAGAGTGTAGCCGTGCTAGAGTGAAGTGTGTTAACTGATACATAAGGTAAGTACGTGGAGAAAAATGTGTTTATAAAAAGTTGATAATTGGCTGATATTGAAACATGCGGAAACGATTGATTCCACAGTTCACAACTTGCGCGAAGAAAAATAATTAGGAAATATACGGGAAGATATAGTCATTTGTGAATGTGATTGATCAAAAATAACAATATAATAAAAGTTTTTGAAGGCTCTACTGGAGATTTTTTGAAAAAATCTATTGTTGAGGGGTAATTTCGATCACTTTGAATTTTACAAATATGTTTATACATTTCGATTCCAGAAGTGATATTTTAGGCTACGTTTATTTGTGAGAGAGTGATTTTGTCTATATTAATTCTGTTTATTTGTCTTCAGATGCCTCGGCACTATCGAAAAAAGTTTGGACCCCGTGGGAAGAAGAATTATTATGAAAAATTCCTCCAGAGGGCAGTGGCGGCGGTGAAAGACAAAAAGATATCGATGAAGGCTGCCGCTGAACGATTTGCCATCCCTTACTCGACCATCAATGACCATTATCACGGACGACATCCGCTCAAGTATGGAAGACCATCCGCTCTAGACGAAAACGGAGAAAAAATGTTAGCTGGAGGCCTGCAACTTTGGGCTTTCCCTTGAAACCGATCGACATTAAACATATTTTCAGGCAATATTATGTTTTGTTCCTATATATTTGTATCATTTATAGTTTTTCGTTGAGTTTATTTAGTTATAGCAACCCATGGCTGTAAAAGAAGACTGAATAAAGAAGCATTTTCCTATTTTTTTATGGATTTCTTGACCTAAAATCAAAAAATTAGATTGGGAAATTTTTCTTTTCAATGTTTGTTGAGCGACTTTACCTTTTGAGAGGTTAAAGTCGATTTTCTATGTTTTTGAATAGGTGATCGACTTTACCCAATATGCGGGGTAAAGTCGATCACTCTCAGAGGAAAAATAAAAATTGAATGTTTGAACTTAAAAAAATTATGATGGGTTCAACAAATGGCTCAATGTTTAAGGTATCTTCATGCTTGATTTCATTTTGAAAAAATCAGTCATTTAGGCGCTATGCTGAAAAAACCTTTATTTTTGATCGAAATTACCCCGTTTGACTATATAATTTTTCTGGTATAATGAATGAAAAAGAATAATCAGACTAATTAATACTTTATTGAACAGAAAATACACCATGAAATGTAAAAATTCACCAACCTACAAGTTGTCCGATGTTCTTAAGGTTGAGTCTGCCACTTTCATACTCCACCTTTACCATACCAATAATATACTTCCTGCTTGAACTCCATATTCTTTTGTGATACTTGCTGATGCCAAGCATCATTTAAAATTATTTGACCTTCATATCCCTGCTTCCTTTGAATTTTATATTGGTGATCTAAAACTGACACAGAACAATATTAAAATTATAACTCGAAATTTCTTCACCATTCGCACTTGACTGATGTAGGTCCTTTATTAAAAAAATAGATACCTTTTTTATCTTGTTATATGTAGGAATGTAGGAATTTATTAATTCTTAGGGCACTCGCTTAACTTGCTGATCAAGTAACAAATACCACAACACACAACGAAACGTAAGAGTCAGTTTAATGATCGAAGGTAAGAATGCTGACGCCATTTTATTTCTATGTTGAGACGACTAGACGAGATTGACTATCGTTCGTGTTCGTTCGCGAAAACTCGAATTTAATAGTCGTTGTCACGTCCGTTTGTTGAAGATAAATTGGTTGTAAAAAATTGATGTGAAATTTACATATTTCCCGAGATATTGTTTTGTTATATAATTAATACGTCAGAATGTTATGTAAATGAGATATCACTGTTATATGGAACATTGCTGTAAATTCAAGGGAAATAGGATTATGTATCTACGTTTTACGGTACATTGACGTCAAATGGAGAGAATTGAGCTGTGGAACATTCGTTGTATGAAATTGACGGCATATGTATATGAAAATAACGAGTGTGTTTACCAGGATACTCCTTCGTTCGATATATGATCTCTATCCAAAAAACGGTGCGAACCTGATGCAAATAGGCCAGAACAACAAATAATGTCAAAATAAACGCAGACGACAAAAAAACGTAGTTAGAAGAAGAAAGAACAGGACGGAAATTCGGAATAATTGAATTCAAAAAATTGATATATAGCTCTTATGCAAACTTGCTTGCTGGCTAATCGGCTTATCACCGACTAACACCACACTAGCACCGCCATGTCTGTCAAAACAGCGTATATTGAATTTTCTGATACTCCAATTCAATGCGGTGTAGGTCTTTCGATATCAGTCGTATGAGGAAATGTTTTATACGAAACTTGTAGGAAATTAAGTCTCTTATAAAATTTGGTGATTGGTATTTTTGACCTTGAATACATTTGTAAGGAGAAAATATGAAATATATCGATTCTGGGTGCAATTTTCCAAGTTATGCCTCATAGTTCAGCTATCCCACTCAGCAGGTCGTGGCGCTTTTTTGAGAGTCATCCTGAGAAATGTCCAAACACACTGAAAAAGATGCCGCTCGGTAATTATGGAATGAGCTGAATATCCTGGAGTAAAATCAGCTCTTCAGAAATAATCCATATGAAATAACAAAGTTGTTGCAACTTTTCGTTAGAAGCGGCATCGCTCAGCGCTGAAAATATTTTAGAACGATGTTCGCCTCGCAAATGTAGTTGACGTGTGGTTCTGGCGACCAACAGAGCCTCTGTTTCGTTTTCAAAGAGTCACCTGTATAACCACATGAACTCACCTTCTGAGAGATGATAAATAAATTGACTTCTTCAGTAAATATGTCAAAAATCATTGATATGCCTACTATTTAGATTTCGGATTCATACCTCTGCTTCCTCAAATTATACATCGCCCTCTATAAAAAAATACCGAAAACTGTCGTGAAAATAACATTATTAACTACCTACTTTCTTTTCAGATATTTCCAAAAAACGAACACTTGAAATTTTGTATGTATGCCAATGCTTTATTGGGCGTATGGCCATACATCTTCGAAGAGAACCCTACGCTGAAAAAGATTTACAAAATTTATTCAGATTTCACTTTCGTCTATTATCTCCTGTTCATATTGACGGCATACATAAAACTCTTTCAGCTGATCGCAGTTGATGAGAAAAACATCCAGGAGATTTTTGCAAATTTATCAATAACACTGTTATATTCGGTCACCATAATGAGAGTATATGCCATCAAATCGAAACGTTTGAAGAATATCATCAGAGAAATAATTGATTTGGAAAATAAGGCTTTGAATAGTAAAGATGAGGATATAATGAAAATTTATAAGGCGCATGCAGGTCAGAGCCAGATATCGAATGCAATATTCCTCATCAACATATTATTTGGTAAGATATCGAATGTGATTGGATTATTTTTTCTTTCAGGGAGGCATCCCATATGTTACAAATTTTCCTCGAATCGATCAATTATTATTCAAATATGGAAAAATATGAGTAGGGAGGATTTGAAAATGCCTGTTTTCATTTATTATCAAAATATCAACACAGTACCTACACTAATGTTATAGCCGTGGTTCTATAAAAGAACCAACACTAATCAAATGATAAAATATTCCACATAGGAGTTTATAGTTATGGTTATAATGGTTATAGGCATGCAAACGAAATTTTTGACTTGAAATTCCAAATATGTCAACAACGGTTAGACATAGGTAGGTATATGACTTGAATTCTTCGTTGAATCTGAAAAAGATTCAATATATAGATAGGGTGTCCTATTTCAAATAAGCAAGTTGACATCAACTGCCGGTAAAACCGGAAGTGCCTCCTTCTTTAAAATATTTCAGCCAAGTTGCCCCAATTGACAGTAGTATATGCCACCAAATTTTCAAATCCGCCCTACTTATATTTTCCATTATATATTGATCGATTCTATATAGATTCTATAGAGGAACAGCTGCAAAAGCAATTCCTCAGAATATGGCAGGACACACCAGGAATGAGACAATCGAAGCTCCACATAAAGGAACCTCCGAAGAGGCTCGCAAAAGAGGTTTTATTCCTGAACAGGCGAAACCTTAAAATGGTAGTTGGGCTCCTAACGGGGCAACAACAAGATGACGAAACGTCATCACATGTCCTCACTGAGTGTCCAGCACTGATGCATCAGAGGAGGGCTGTCCTTGGCAACATAATTTTGAGGCCAGAGGACGTAAAGGAGATTCAGCTGAGGAAGCTGCTGAACTTCTCCAAGGCAGTCGGCATACCCAGCTGAATGTCATGTGGACGCACAATGGCCACCAGTGCTTCGAAGAAGAAGAAGATTGATCGATTCAGTATTCCCGGAGGGACACGCACTTGTATAGTCTTTCCAAAATCAATAGACAAAAAGATTGATTTCTTGAAAAAATACTATGATGTTCACACGATGAGAAAAGCCACAGAATTTTTTCGAATCTTTTCATTCTTCTGGATTTCTAAAAGTAAATTTCCAAAGAAATGCTCTTGTTAAAACACACAGTGGAACTGACGTCACAAATACTATAACTATACTATACAGCGTGTCTCACTTTAAACGGCCCCCCCTCTATATCTCAGTTATTAGTCATGCGATTCCAACCAACTTTGGTGTGGTATGAATAACTATCAATATGATCAGTTTTACAGAGATGCAGATTATTTTGGGCAGTGCCGTGCGTTTTTATTGAACTAAATATTGGTCGATTCTTCATTAAATCATATTAGGCATTTTTTTACAGAAAATCTAACCTCATATTATTGTTCCTCATGCTTTCGAACCTCCATATGCAAAAAATCACCTAAATCCGAATTAACAGGATTGGCTTCATTTTTTTTCATTTTCAGTCTCGAATAAATAGTGACTTCAAATCAACTAAGGATTTTGGAACAGTCAATGGCTACGATAGATGGAAAATCATGATTTGAAAAGAAAAACGAGTTAGGTATACTTGTTTATGTTGAACTCACCGTTTCCGAGTAAATAATTATTACGTTCGCAAAAATGCTGTTTGGAAGTGCCTGTTCTTCTGAAACCTTCTATAGGCATCTTATGAAAATCTACATATGTGGGTTTGAAACCATAGAGAACAATATTATGAGGTCAGTTTTCCAGTGAAAAAATGCCTAATATGATTTAATGAAAAACTGCCCCCCATTCATTTCAATAAAAATGCACGGCACTGTCTAAAATGATGTTCGTCTTTGAAGAACTAGTCATATTGATGATGAGTCATACTGATACAAATTTGGTAAAGATCGCACGACTGATAGCTGAGATATAGAGGAGAGGCCGTTTGAAATGAGACACGCTGTATATAATGTATAGGTAGTTGAGAAAAATCGACAATTCACTATTCAGTGACATAGAGTACGTTGACGTCCCAACCGATTCTTTAGTTTGTTTGAATATTGGTTAGAATAGGAAATTGAACATACATCGGTTTTAAGATTCATTTGGCTAGGACTCTTCCACATCAGGCAGTATAGTTCGTTTCTTCGAGGAATGCGTAGATTTGGAATTATCTGCGGAAACCGACAAGAAATGCTATTTTTTTAAAAGTACGCAAATTTGGTAAATTTCTGCACTCGTTAGTCCTACATTCATGAGTAATGATAATTATAT